GCAAACTTGGAAGAATGCAAGATTATGTAAGATACCTACCTATATTTGCTGGTTGTCAGTTGTCTGTTTTCATATTGTAATGATGAATAACTATTACAACTGTTTGGTGCTCTAATACCTGTTTTAAATGTGGTACTGTGATATGCTACAGGTTATGCTTTCCATTGTTGACAGATATTAATCTGCTGTTATAATATTATTGTATATAATATGCCAGTCACAATATGGCTGAAATACTGCCAATGTGACTATAAATCTTAACTCACTCTCTACATGATATTTCTGTGTGATCACATCACAGATAGGATACATAGGATAGACACAATGCATGTGTTTAAAGTACAGTATATATAATAAGACTTACAAGTTTTATAAAAGTGTTATAACCTGTGAAGATCCAGTTAGAATTGGTCTTCAGAATCCTGTGCTTGTCCTAAGAGGTGAGTAACAGGATTGGATAGGTCAGGCTTGCTGACTAAGTTGACACGTCATTGTATCCTAATGGCGTAGATCGATGCTCATGTTGTTGATCACTGGATTGTCTGGTCCAGAATCGAGTATTCAGAGATGCTGCCATATAGCTGGAATATTGCTGAGTGTGGGGTTAAACACTGACTGACTGACTGAGTTTAGTTTTACGACGCTTTTAGCAATATTCCAGCAATATCACGGCGGGGGACACCAGAAATGGGCTTAACACATTGTGCCCATGTGGGGAATCGAACCCGGGTCTTCGGCGTGACAAGCCAACGCTTTAACCACTGGGCTACCCCACAGCCCCGTGGGGTTAAACAACAAATAGACAAGTATAATAGTATTACAACCTAAAGCAGGTTACCCTTAGGAGAACCTTAAAAAATGGGAAGAAGATAATCGGTTTAACACTGGAAACGTTTCTTTATCACTGGTAACATTTCTTTAACACAGGAAAACCAAGCCATGGAAGAATGCATATAAACCTCATGTGTAGACGCTTGTCATGGGCTGATGATTCCAGCCCTGTAGTCTCCTTACAGTGTTGTTTTCTTAGAGTCGCGTGTTGTGACTACAAGGAGATTCATTATCGGCGGGAGAAAAAATATATTCTTACAACCTCTGTTGCACGAAATGACATCACACACCGTGTTCAGATTTATGGTGAAATAAAGTCCGGACTTGTTGGAATAATTTGCATTTCTGGAGATTGCGTGACGGTTCTAAACAAAAGGACCTCCACGTGTATCTCCTTGTATTACATAGTCTGAGGTATTTGTGTGGTCACGGATCGCATCAGCTGATTATAATAGCTGCCAACACCTTGCCCTTTCTTGACACGTACAGTACTTTCTCGTTTATTTACTGAAACATTTTTTTGTTAGATTTACTTCAATCAGAAAAAGCATCTTTTTTTTTTTTCAATTTTGTCTTGATGTTGCTGATGTAGTTTCGTAAAGAAACTAAACTATACTTGTTTCTGTGTGATTACTTCTGAACAAATTATCTAGAGATAAACAACACCTGTTTAAGTAACATTAGATGTAACATTAGATGTAACATTAGATGTAACATTAGATGTAACATTAAGTAGCGTGTGCATAAAGTTCTGGTATTGAACTTTAGCCATAGTCCTGAGTTTAATTCTGAAGATTGGGTTCCCCTGTTGGGATTCTGGTTGGAATAGGACCCCATTGGCTGGTCACTCACTCACTCACTCACTCACTCACTCACTCACTCACTCACTCACTCACTCACTCACTCACTCACTCACTCACTACTCACTCACTCACTCACTCACTCACTCACTCACTCACTCACTCACTCACTCACTCACTCACTCACTCACTCACTCCTCACTCACTCACTCACTCACTCACTCACTCACTCACTCACTCACTCACTCACTCACTCACTCACTCACTCACTCACTCACTCACTCACTCACTCACTCACTCACTCACTCACTCACTCACTCACTCACTCACTCACTCACTCACTCACTCACTCACTCACTCACTCACTCACTCACTCACTCACTCACAGCTCTAAATTGAGCAAGAAAGATATATCAATCTTGCAGAAGATTTAGGACAAAAAGATGTCTCTTTTTTGTTCCGAGAAGTATTGTGATGTTTGTGTGTCTCTAAATGACATCCATGTGAAGCTTGACACTGTACATTGCCCCACGGTTCTTGCCTGACTACAGTCATTACACCACATAAAGGCAGCATTTACAGAATATCCGACAGCTAACATGACTGAGATGCTGTCACTCTTCCCTAGTTTTTGGAGTACCTACGAAACTGACACCATAACACTGAAACTCTTGTGTTCTGCAGACAAAGGGATGATGACACGGCATAAAGCTGATGTTTCAGTTAAAACAGTTTCAACACCATTCTGTTAAAACAGTTTCTACACCTTTGAAATAACATGACACCTATTTGCATCTTAACTGTGAGATGAACGATCAGGTTCAAGTCTTCTCTCCCAGGTAGCACATTCAGGCAATAGCCAACAATAGCTCGCAGACAAGCTTCAGTGGCTTGGAGGGTTGACGTTAATGTTTTTTATATGCTGAGAAAACATATATGGTTGGGTGCTACACTCAATGTATACTTTTATCACTTTACAAAATATTTCTACTGCTTCTGAAGCGTGTGTTATTACTTGATCTGTTTGATATGCTTCTGACTGTTACATGATGTCAATATCAGCAAATAGTCACATGTAACACTTCTATCTTACTTGAACAACTCAGTGTGCAAAAATGTTATCACACAAGATTCTTTCATTGGACTATAGTTTGTCATGGCTTGAGGCCAAATAAGAAAAATGTTGTGGTTCCGATTACACCTCTGTAAAATTTAGGGTAGGTTGGTAGGAATTTTTTACATATTTTTTTCAGAAGGAAAGTACAAACTAATAACACATGTATCAATGTGTAATTGTTTATTCAATCAAGCTTGTGGCCATCACGTCGACTTTCTCTATCAGAATGACCGATATCTGTCAGCCCCAGAAAAAAACAATGGTATCTGAAAGCTTATTTTATTCAGTCCACTTAAAGAAGATGGGGTCGGCACCAGAATTCAAGGTTTGGTCGGGTAATACTGTTTTCCTTAACATCTTTTGAGTCGTATATTTGCTGCATCATAATTAGTTATGTTTTCCAGTTTACAGGGATGGGTAACTTTGATATATTTGTTGCGAGACTTTTCTGTGACTGCTGGAGTAGATTCTCCACAGGGGGCCAGTTATTATAACCTTAGGGCCCCAGCAATTTGTTCTCCCCACACAGGCCTATATCCTTCATTTAGTGCTGTGTTAATATGATAATAGGTGCTTGTAACAGGAACTGGCACTTACAGTATCACCAATCTCCCCATCTCCACACTGTGTAATGTCCACCAGTGGATTCCACAAACACTGGGCATTAGTCCACTGATAACACTTGCACTGGTTAGTTCTCATTTTTATCACTCGCACATAAAGTTCAGTTAGTCAGGGATATAGAGTCTTCCGTCAGTAGCTTGTTTCTTTATGGGCAAATATCCTTATCAGAGGGGTCTCCAGTCATTATGTGCTGTAGCTAGCTAACCATAGCAGTTAGTTGTCGTGTTGGTAATGGTTGGAATGTTATCGCTGATCATTAGATAATTCCAACCATCAGGATAAATTGTCTTTGATTGTGGAAATATTTTGTGTATTTTCTGATTAGTCGAAAAATATTTGAATCTGGAAAACTCATGCAATATCTGAACTTACCGCCATATTCATCTGTTGTTACATATCTTTGATGTTTGAAAAAAATCCTTTGGGGATAATTAAGCACTATCATATGTTATTATTTTATGTCCCATCATTCTTGGCTACAGGATGGTGGAGTAGCCTTGTGGTTAAAGCATTCATCTGTCATACCAAAGACCAAAATTTGATTCCCAACATATGAATTCTTCAGCGTAGGAATCCCACTTTTTTGTTGCTTTTCATGATCTTGCTGGAATATTGCTGAAAGCGACGTAAGACCATCCACACTCACTTGTCTGTACCATAGCTTTACACACTTAATTTAAATTGATAAATAAATAATTATGGAATATCATCATCATCATCATCATCATCGTCGTTGTCGTCTTTGTCGTTGTCATTATCTTCATCATCATCATCACCACCACCACCATCATCATCATTATCATCATCATCACTCACATACTTTAAAAGTACTTTCAAAATGTATTCTATTTATTGGTAGTAATATGGGATTTCTGCACTATGGCAGGTGTGAAACTTTGTTATACATCACTTATTTGCCTCCATTACAGTAATGCTATTCTCTGTTATTATTCACGTGTAGGAAGTGATACAGGATTTACAAAGCAGAGAGTACTTAATCATTATACAGCAGCTAGCTATTGTGATCTGCTTCACTGAGAGGCTGGAGTTTAGTAGATAACACTAATCCTTGCTTTATCATATGGGAAACTCCGATTTAGTGCTCAGCATGACCAGGTATGTGTACACAGAAGCAAATCTCTTAAGGTCATTTATGGATTATACTAGTTACATACGCAGTGTTTATGTTATTAACGGCAATAGATAGATCATTCAGTTTGGGGGCAGGTCGACATACAGCTTGTAAATATAGACATGTATTTGTGATTAATTAAACATGTGATGGTGAGTGTGTTGGTATTTTCATGTAGCAGTTATGGAATACTGGAGTTTTTAATCAGTTATAAATTAATGACGCTATTAACTCTTTTTGTGTTAGGAATACTTCATACCTATATGAATTATCCTTAATTTTGAGGTTAAATCTTGAGATAAAGAATATTCATCTTGAGCCAGCTTATGTAACTCTGATTTTACTGATTGCTATGACCCAGCAGATACATACTAGGAGTTGGTTAGTAATACCACAATCTAACACGCTGGACCGCTTGGATATCAACAACATTGTGACTTCTCTATGTATCTGAGTTTTTTGTGTCTCTCATTCCTCTCTCTGTCTCTCCATATAGGTGGTGTCACCTGCGTGGTACGTCAGCGGGCTTATCTGTCTCTCTCGACCAGTCTTGCTGTCTGGCCACAGCGTTGAGGATTAGCGGACTGCGGCCACCACCGTGACTAAACAGTTACACGTGGATGTGACAGCGAGTGTGGTGGCCACTGCCGAGGATAGTGAGTCTAGATGTTGGGCTGATGTAGAGGATCTCAGACTACCTGTGAAGGTGAGTGTTCTAATGACTGTAGCGTCACACTCACCTGAGTGGAGAAGGGCTGAAATGTTTAACTTCAAATCTTCTGGGTAATTTGAGCTGAGTTTTTGTGATTGCACTTCTCTTTTCCAGTTTATATTTGTGGTAGATATGTTGTGGTTTATAGGCATTTTTGGAATGAAACTGTTTTTTAATAATTATTGGTGACAAGTTTGAGGTAAACAAATGGCCAGTGGGTAGAGAGTCATCTGGCGGTCCACCTGTGGACTTTACCCGAACACTTCAACTACATATCGTCTCCATGTGAAAAAATGTGTGTATTAATCTGATAACAGTAGAGGACACTGCAGGGCATGTTTGTATGTTGGTATGGGTGGGAAACCCATTAGCTGATGAGTGTAGATTGGTGTAAACAGTACATGACATTATACACAGATAATGGTGGTACACGACATTATACACAGATAATGGTGGTATTCACCAGGTAGTGTTGCAGGTACATCAGGCCAAGACATGGGTAATGCCCTCATCTAAGGATTATATACACTACTCAATTTTTGATAAGGACCATTTCATCTTTGGCAAAGATGTGTTCCTCTAGAAATGTAGATTAGTATAAGTCAGTGTTTGAAATTAATGATGATTGAACTTTGTAGGCATCTGTCAGTTAACATTATATTTTTACAAAGGCAATATTACAACCATATCGTGATAGTATACAGGTAAACATTGACAAAAAAACTATTTAGTCAGTGAAGGACTGTACAATAAGTAAACTATCACTAGTTAAAGTGTAAAAAATAAGCTTTCATTCAATTCTGTGTGAATGGAGCAGCAATCTAAGTTTATTATGTGTCTCTGTTGGCTACACAAATAATAGCTGCCAGCAATTTGACATAATACATTAAGAAATCTGAATGAGATGTTTCTTCTTCTGGTCCAGATCTGGGAGAAAGCTTTCATGCTTTAACAGCCTCTAAACTACGCATTCATCATAAGAATTATGTGAGGAAAGGGTTTGACTGGTCATTGTGAACCTAGTTGTCATAACAACAGACTGAATGTGTGATGAATGGAGAAGTCACGACCAGGTTGTACACTTTTCCTGCTAAGGTTTCTCATTTGTTCCTGTTGTAGGTAGGCCTCTTTATCAAATACATGATGAGTGAGTTAATATGGGTTCGAATCCAAGCCTCGATCGTGATGGATGATCATGTTTGCTTGGGCTGTAATGGATCACCTCTAGTTATGATCGGTATGTTATTTGTGTTATTTTTGTTGTCCTTATTGAGGCTTCCTTTTGTTTTGTGTGTTGATTTAGGGGTGGATTTAGAAAGGAGTTAGGATTCAGCAGGACTGTATGAGGAGAACAAATAAATATTTGATTAAGCATAAAGAAAAGAAAAAAAAGCAGGGAGTGGTTTATGTAACTGTTGCCTTTATGTATTTTATATTATTTTTAGTTATTTAACTTTAAATGGCACTCTTTTAAGAACATATGCTGTTGAATTTCATCAGTAATTCTACCGTTGTAGGGTGATTTTGTGCTTTTGAAAATTAATTGTGGTAACTATTGCTCAGGATTCAGAGAAAGAGTATCTAATTGTAGATGAAGTATTGATGAAAAAGATATCACCGTATGAGTACTTGACACAGGTTGTTCAATATACAGTGGGGACATCATATTATCATATTGATAGAGAATATCCAAGGCATTGACTGTGTTTATAATACATGGGCCTGTTTATGGTGTATGCGTAAACTGAATTGCACAGATGATTTTTAGTGCTTCAATCATTTTTAATGTGTTCTTGACATCAAATACTTTCCCTGTCATAAAATCTGGGATACCTAAAGGGACGTGAATGCCAGTTTAGTTAATGTATGACTCGGAATGTCATATTTCATATTGATATCTAATGTTGTGTGTAAAGTTAATTCAATATTTATATTACCTGGAGTTGGAATAGCAGCATCAGATTTAAAGGAATATACATATACGTTATTGAAACAATGTTAGAGAACACCCACTTCTTTCATGTCAGATTAACTACAGGAATGCGAATGTATTGGGTGTTCTGTAGCTATGTTTGAGTTGTATACGATATACATATATGCAATCCTCATTTATAGTAAAAAAACACAATATGTTTTAATTCCTACTCAGTATTTTGTAACAATTGTTGTAACTTGATTTAAAATTGAATCAAATTTCTAATCCTTTTTTCCCCACATTTTTCATCATTAAGAATTATGAAACATAGACATCATGTCCAAGGGGTACAGTTTTAATTAATATGGAAATTACGTTAATGTGTTTTGCGTTTTTTATGCCCCTATAAAACACTCAAAATGTCTCTGTACAAGAGCTGCTTGTGTTTTATGTTTCATGGCCATTATAGGATGTTACACATGCTTACAGCAAGACATTTCTCACTTCTCCACAAGAGAGTTATTGTAATTTCAAAATTGTATGTTTCAGTGTCAGGAGTTTTGCTTCCCAACTGAGATAGTTAATTTTCTTGTGGCTGTAGTAGAAAGGTGATTCACCTTATTAACAATTCAAATAATGTCTCCCACCAGCATTATGGCAATTTGGTCATGGGAGTGACATTTTGATATACGGACCATTTCATAAAAAGTAGTTGTTGAATAGCTTATGAGACAATCCTGTTAGACCCCATTGTGATCATAATTTTAGATATTACTTAGACTGTGCGATTGGCCTTCTTGCATTCTTGCACTCAAAGTTCTTGTTGGAAAAACTAAATTAAAACTGTTTGTGACACCACATTTCAAAGTCTGTATGAGTTCCTGTATCGTAGTGTCTACTGTATCAAGGTCCATGGTCCAGCTTGATCATACTGAAGTTGATTGATGGTGTCCACATGGGCACTAGGGTGGCTATAATGAGGCCCCATAGGCTTCTCGGTGTATACACTAAAACAATTAAGGCCCTTAACTTATTTTTATTGGTATATATTCTGTTCCTATTTTCATAACAATATTTTTCTTTCCATGATATACTGGAGCGATGGGCTAGCTTAGTGGTTACAGTGTTCGCTTGTCACGCTGAAGACCCGGTGTAGCAGGCCATTTCTTCCCCGGTCTAAACTTTCCCCAGGGAGAATCTGGCCTAGGCCAAACTTTCCCCAAGGAAGTTTGTCCTAGGATATTCTTACCCTGGAGAAAGTTTGGGCTAGGCTAAAGTTTCCCCCTCTAGGCCAAAGTTTCCCCCCTGTTTAGACCAGGATATTTTGTTCTGTTTTCTATGAAAAGAGGGAGATTCTGGCCTTGCTAGGCTACTTCTTCCCCACCCTTGTTCTTATATCAAAAGGGGGAGATTCTGGCCTAGCTAGGCTACTTCTTCCCCACCCTTGTTCTTATATCAAAAGGGGGAGATTCTGGCCTAGCTAGGCTACTTCTTCCCCACCCTTGTTCTTATATCAAAAGGGGGGAGTTTCTGGCGTACCTAGGCTACGTCTTCCCCACCCTTGTTCTTATATCAGAAGGGGGAGAACAAGTTATTACAAACATCAAACTGACCATAGTTTTGACTTAAAGTTTGGTACACATTTTTGCCAAATAGTCCATTCTTGCCTCTGACTTGGGTGTACTGATTTGAATGCATACATGTTTGAACGGCATATATCTCTAAATCCATCCTGCTTCTGTCGCCATTCCTATGAAGACATATTGCATTAGTTCTTCATCTGTCAAATCATGTCACCTTAAGATGTAAACATTCAAGTATATCCCTTATCAAATCTTGTGTTTTGAATTTAGAATAAAGCACTATCGTGGAATGATAGATGATACAGCATTTGATATAGATATTGTGTTGGGTTGTTGTTCTGTTGATTTTTACGTCTGCTTTATGTCGCCGATGTGGATGCCATATTTAAAGCTTTGAGTGAGGGAATAAAATTTTGAATGGATATGGACATCCAAGTAAAAACTAGGTGTGTAGTCAAAGATTCGAATATTGTAATGACTTTGAGATAAGCCAATTTGGAATAAGTGGGGATAAGTAAATTATTGAAATATAAACATAAGTAAATGATAACATAAAACAGTAGTAATGATGTCATAAAATAAAGAAATATTTTGTAATATTAAATTATTTTTAATAATTTGGAATTAGAGAATTGTGTTGGGTAGAACATGATTATTTTTAACAGTGGTTTATATTTTAGTACTCATGTCACAAGAGATGCATACTGATACAAAACTATTTTCTTTAATTTTCTGTTAAGCTAATGGGTCTACTGCATACATTTCTGTATCAGTTCTAGCAGGTTGCACCTGGTCTAAGTAACTTTGTAATCTCAATTAGTTCTAGCTCATGATTATTTGATCATTATTGATATAAAGAAAGATATATGATGCAATCGATTCATACTTTCTTTCATGACAACATCGGCATCATTAAAATGTATATACATGCTCTTACATACTTTTGATACTTTGCTTTTATGCTTGCTTGCTTTTCTTTTTAATCTCACCTTATATAAGGCAATTGAAAGAATATGTGAACCATGTACATGTTATGTATGAAGATGAAGATGACGATGACCTGAAAATTGTTAATGGAGCTTGACATTAACATGAGTAGTGAATAGCTATGTCTTGTTTTCGTTTACATGAAAACAAGGTTGAAGAAGAAATAGCCTAGCTGGGCCAGAATCTCCCCCTTTAGATATAAGAACAAGGGTGGGAAAGAATTAGCCTTTAAAGTTGTTTCAAGGGTGGGGAAAGTTTGGCCTAGGACAAACTTTCCTTGGGGAAGGTTTGGCCAGGGGGAAAGTTTGGCCTGTTACCGGGTTCAATTCCTCACATGGGTACAATGTGTGAAGCTTATTTCTGGTATCCCTGCCATGATATTGCTGGAATATTGCTAAAAGCGGCATAAAAACTCACTCACTCCATGACATACTTCACTGATTCTCATATAAGATGTCAAGTGTACAATTAAACAGATACATACTTGAATTTCCCATTCAAACGTTGTG